TTTTATGTATTACATCACAAGCCTTTTCTCATGCCATTAGTGATCTTTGACAATGTGATTTATAGTGACTGCATAATATTTCACTATATAGATGTAGTATGATTTGTTTAATGAATCACCCAGCGTGAAATATGTAGATGGTTTCTAATTATTCAAGATTATGAATAAAACTGCAATGAAATGGTTAGAAGATTTTAACCCTCCAGACTCCTATGGTTGCCAAGAATCCACAAAGCAGGGCCAATAGGATTAAGCAGACCCTTCAATCTGCAGAAGAAATTAGCCTGGGATATCTTTTTCATATCTTCCTTCTGTTTCTTCTATGATCCTAATTAGAGTAAATCTTTTGATGTAGGAAGTAGGCAAAAGTAAAATTATGAACTTCAACCTGGGGAGTCACAGGAAGTCCAGGTTAAATAATTTATGAAGATGTATATTTAGTCCTTCTCAGAAATCTCCTATAAAGGGGGCTTCAATTCCTTCAAAATTACATCCTGCAATGACATTCTGTTACACATTGGCACTAATGCAAAAAACTCAGCAAATGATTGTAGGTAGGTAGGAAGAAAGAAAGAAAAAGGAGGAAAGAAAGAAAGAACAAGGCAGTCATAACTAGGCAGGAAGGATCTATGGCAATATTTATCAGCAACCCCAATACCACTCAAGGCCACTTTAGCAAAACTGAGCAAAATATCCTCCTTTCATTCACTCTATTTACTGTAAGAGGGAAAAACGACCATACCACCTCAAAATTCCCTAACAGACTTGGAGACTAGTAGACCTGGCTACTAATCTTGCGTTGAGTAAAAAGCCAGAAGTTTGCCTACAGAGTCAAGAGGAAAGAGTCAAGAGTTAATAGACCCAGGATTAAATAGGACCCACACTTAGCAAGGTTTGAGACGTGGTGCACCTTGAGAGGTATTAAATAGAATATGGAAAGATCAAACCACAGGAGTTCCTTCTTCATTAGACCATCCAAGGATGCTCACTTCTGCCTAACTAATAATCCAGTTCAACCTGCTATGCAATTCCTAGAGGAAAGCTCCCACAGGCAATTCAGATTCCCCACCCCGCCTGTCTTTATTTATATTGTCTGTAGAGTTCAAGTCAGAGAACTGGAGTAGGTGAAAGATGTGATTGAATGGGCTTTTCCCTCTTTTTTCCCTCTTTTCTTTTTTTAGGAGAAATGACTAGCTTTCCCTGGTCAAGTAAACCCATTCAATATTTATTCAGCATCTCTATGTATCAGACACAGTGTAGAAATATACATATGTATATCTATATGTATATGTACATATATCTATATGTACACAGCTAGACCCACACGTGTATTCTATATATGAGCATTTCCAATTTAATGAGGAAGAGGGCCGGCCCTGTGGCTTGGCGGTTAAGTGCTCGTGCTCCGCTGCTGGCGGCCCGGGTTCGGATCCTGGGTGCGCACATGCGCACCGCTTCTCAGGCCATGCTGAGGCCGCGTCCCACATACAGCAACTAGAAGGATGTGCAACTATGACATACAACTATCTACTGGGGCTTTGGGGGAAAAAATAAATAAATAAAATTAAAAACAATTTAATGAGGAAGAGCCCATCAGCTTAGTGTGATCCCGGCACCACGGATGGAGGGATGCACATGGTGCTCTAGTCCAGTCTGGGTGGGAAGTTGGAAGCCCCAGGGAAGAATTTCAAAGAAAAATGATGCCTGAGTTGAGTCCTCAAGTTCCTTATTAAGCCTACTGTAGAGATGCTCTAGGGATAAACTTGGCAGGGAATTTTCTACTAGGAAAAAAAATAGGTGTTAGTACTCTACTACTCAATTTTGTAATCATCATTATCATAATTATCACCAAGTAACAGAGATTAAGTAATTTTCCCAAAGGCACACAGCATGCCCAATAAAGATCTAGATCTGGAAATCAGACCTCCCTGGCATCTAAGATCTTGCTTTACTTAATGTGTGTGTGTGTGTGTGTAATGCACATATGTGTGTGTGCATGTGTGCACATATACATGTGCATATGTACATAATGCATAGGTGTGTACAAACATACACACGTCTTATTCTCTCCTCCGCCTAAAGGGGGCCTCACACAGACTAGTTTGGGAGTGGGAAGGTGACTGAGAGGGAACATGCAGATAGAAAGCCCTGCTGGATGACCCCTAGAATAGCTCCTCCATGACAGCCACTCAAAATGATGCTTTTCTTTCCATCCTGAAAAAAGAGTCAGAATCTGAGATTTGTAGATCTCTTGAATAGAAAGATCCTCACAATCACACACCACTTTGCCTCCAGACAGGACTGCTCCTAATTTCTCTCATATTCTGAGATCCAAGACATAAGACTATGCTACTTCCTGACAGCCTCCTGTTCGAATAAATTCCCTGGTGGAGAAATCTCCCAGTCTCTATTTCCTGGACTTATATGAAAGTCTGTGCGGCAAAGGAGAAAAAGTATGGGCTTTGGAGTCAGAAAGATTTGGGATCAATTCCTACATTTACCACATTCTAGCTACCTCTGGGCAAATTATTAATTTCTCTGATCTGTAAAATTGGAATAAAAAATGACATTTCTCTTGGCTATTGATTAGACAGATAGATAGATAGTCTAGCATATAGTAGATACTAAATACATCATAGTTCCCTTTCTCTTTCTTCACCTGCCCCAGTATCATGCTGGGCTCTCTTTAGGACTATTTCACACAAATGTGATTTTACAAAAGCTATCTCAGTGGAAAGCAAGTCTCAGGTTCAGATAGGACCAAGCTTAGCAAGGTTGAGAGAAATCTGGGAAAACCATGGTTAATAATGACTATTCCCATCTCCCACACCCCCAACCCTGGCAACACTTTACATTTCTCAGCTAAGATCTGCCCTGCCCAGCAAGTCCTTGTTTTGGGGGTTTGACAATGTAAAGAGGAAAAAGAAGAGTGAGGAGAAGGAAGAAGAGCAAGGGAGAGGAGGAGACTCAAAAGGAAAAAAGGAAGACCCCACAGAGAGTGGGGTGGCAGTAAGAGCCCCATGGCAGTATTTAGGAAGATAGGTAACATCCCTGCTGTGCTACTGAGAAGCTCTGTAATCTTAGACAGAGATCTTTTCCTGAGCCTTAGTTTTCCCATTTGAAAATATGTTTAATAAAATCTATATCATAAGATTATCATGAGGATTACATGAGATGATATGTGTCTGGCTAGTAGTAGGTACCCAAATTAAAAAACAATACTACCTAATATACATTAAGTGCTTACATTGAACCAAATCTTAGGCTAAGAAAACCACCTGTACTACTCCATGCTTAATTACTATTATTATTAATTATTATTATTATCAACATCAAATAAAGAAGAAGAGAAGAAAAAGAAAGGAATCTTGGACTCACATGAAAACCATAAGAGGCATTAGAGCCACTGAGTCCTACTGCATAATTTTATAGATGAGGGAAGCCCGGGCCAGCGACATAGTGATCTGCACAAGTTCGCGTGGTTCTGAGGCAGCAGCATCTGGACTAGAATCCCAGCCTTCTAGCTCCATGTACAGAAGGTGGGAGATGTGGCTGGGCAGGGTTCCCGGAAGCCATGGTCACCCTTTCAGGAGCGGCACCTCCATGGAAACTGACCTCGTCCACCACCTCCCTGGGCAGCCAGCACCCCCACAGCCCTCACAAGGCTCATGACGCCTGTTCATTCACACTCCATTCTATCACCCACAGGCTCATAATTAGAAGAGAATACACATGCCTTGGGTTTCTGAGACCATTATTAAGAATCGGGTGAGCCACAAGCAAGCAGACAACCAGGCAGGAAAACCTGGATTAAAGCTAATCCCCTTGCTTTACAGACACTCATCAGAGAGTGGTTATGGGTCCCACGGAGAGGAAGCAGAGGCAGCCTCAGGGAGCTGGCTCCCCAGCCCTTCATCTGCCTGGGGAATCTCAGTTTAGAAAACATTATCTTTTCATGTTTGTCTCTGACAGGCACTGCAATGATTTGCATTCGTTCTCACAAAGTGTCAGAAAAGCCTGTGAAGTCGTAACAACCAGGCTTCTTAATGCATTTTAAATATCAAAAATCAACTTAATTAAGTGGGGTTAATTTTTCTTTTCTGAGCAGCAATCAAACTTTAATTAATACTCCATTAAAATGAATGCCTGGGGAAACACAAGCATGCATACACCTAATGAGTCCATCTGCCAAGGGTGGTATAACAGAAGATGCTAAGTGTGCCTCCTCACTGGCCACTTACTCCATCTCAGAGAGCCCACATTCATCAGAAATGAAAAGCTATCACAGGTTTGCAACCCTCCTCCTCTCTACGGGCCCCTCTGCCCTGCCAACAACCGAACGTAATCCATCCTCCCCTCTCCTGTCTCCACTTTGTGAGTGATTCAGGGCCAGATTTAAGCCCAGTTGGCCTCCTCCAGTGTGGAGGGCACCTCAGTCTCCCTTCCTTCACTGGCCACCAGTCAACAAGCAGGCAAGGTGAGGACCAATTCACTATAATATCCCCCTGTGGCTGACCTCATTAAAAAGATTTAATCTCTTTTTAAAAAAAATAAAATAAAAATATAAAACACATTTGCAAAGTCTGTATGTTCCTGGCTGGTAGCAAAGATGATGAAAGTTCTGCAGGACTCGCATTTCTGACAGGATTGGGTATGGGATGGAAGGGAGTCTCTGTTGTTTTCTATTTCCTCCTGCAGCGACTTTCTATTCCAGGGATTCCCAAACTTCCCCGGCCGCAGACTGCATGCTCTGGCTGACTGCGCAGAACTACCAGCCTCTGCTGCCCCCTCCTCACCAGGGATGAGGAGGAAATTTTGCCCCATTTTGGTTGAGGCCAAAATACAGGTGATCAGGAGCAAACTGTTAATATCATCACCGTTAGGCTAGTAACCCCAAGACCCCCAGGATCCTGGGCATACTTTGCAGGCCATTTTACCAAGAAACCGACCTGACCCTGGCCAGAACCAGCCAATGTCCTGTCTCCACTATCTCCCCTTACCTCTTTGGTGTGTGTGTGGAAGGAGACAGACATGTCCAGGAGAAGCTTCCGCTGCTCCACCCTGCGCACAAAGTCTTGGATGCGCACCTCCAGGTGTCGAGCTGCCTTGTAGATCTCCTCGGGGTCACATTCCCCCGTCTGAGCCAGCTGCTCTGCTGCTTCTAGGAGCTTGTCCGCGTTGGTGTATGTGTTCTGCCAGCAACAACAGTGAGGGAAAGTCAACCTGCAGTCCCCGAGCGAGCTTCGCGCCTTCCCCCAGCCCACCCGGGGCTGCCCAGAGCGGGAGCGCAGGGGCGTGGGCGCTGAGCCGACAGCTCCCTGATCTGGCACGGAGGAGCGGAGCGCCGAGCTCATCCGCCGCCTCTCAGCAAGCTAGCAGCCTGCCTGGCAGCTCAGCACTAGCGGGCACGAGCTAGGTGCCTCCTCCATCTCTGGCATTTCTCAGAGGTGGGGCGTCCCTGGAAAGAGGCGAGGAGACAAGAGAGGATGCTCAGTCCCCAACCGCTCCCTGACCCCCACCCCTACGAAGATCCATCATTGCCCCCACATCTCAGGCAGTTAACTGCCAGAGTCGGAAATACCTCATCCACCAAGATCGTCTGGGTTTCTATGTGAGAACGCCAGGAAACAATAACTGGGAGACTTGCTCAACTTTTCCCCCAAGTTCCTTGTAACTACTGGTGTTTATCTTTTGGAACAGAGCTATCTCTTTGGAGGGGAAGGGGTCAGTAACTCAGGGAGCTGACAGAAGGAGGCAGCCACAGCCAGAGTGAGGAAATGCAGGCTATTCCCTGCTCCCAGGGAAGGCTTACTGCTTGCAGGAAGGTTGAGGAGTCTGGTGATTTTGTTTATTGTAAGCTACTGCATGCACACTCACTTTCACCCACACACACTCACTCCCACACATACTCCTCTGTGTCTGTACACACCATGGTATTCTCCAGAGCATTTTAAAAGGCAACCAACGTGTAACTATTATTCATCAAGATGGGAGTCACTGCCTTTATAATAGTTATTACAGCTCTACCATGGATACAACTTTTCATCAGCAGGCTTCCCTTAAAAAAGATCTCTTGATATACCTTGATTTAGAGCTGGTGACTCAGGCGTATATTATATTTCTTAATATCCGTATAGTCGCACAATGCCCTATAGAGCAGTGAATGAGTGGTTGCTGGTGACGATGTGAATCTGGCAGCAGAAACAGTCAGGATCACAGGCAAAGTGAGTGGAGAATTGAAACGGATTAATGAGCAAGGACTGGGTGGTGCTTTACTCTGCCCACGGAGAAGTGGGCAAAAACCTCCAGTCTCCACGGAGGTTTTTGCACTCACCTGGGTGTTAAGGATTGAATTGTGTCCCCCACTAAATTCACATGTTGAAGTCCTAACCCCCCAGTACCTCAGAATGAGACTTTATTTGGAAAGAGAGTCATTCCAGATCTAATTAGTTAAGATCAAGTCATAGTAAAGTAGGGTGGGCCCCTAAAGTGTCCTTGCAAAAAGAACACCATTGAAGAGACAGACACACACCCAGGGAGAATGCTGTGTGAAGATGAAGGCAGAGACCAGGGGATGTATCTACGAGGGAAGGAATGCCAAAGATTGCCAGCAAATCACCAGAAGTTAAGAGAGAGGCATGGAACAGATTCTCCCTCATATCCCTCAGAAAGAACCAACCCTGCTGACACCTTGATCTTGGACTTCTAGCCTCCAGAACTGTGAGACAATAAATTTCTGTTGTTTAAGTCACCCAAATTGTGGTACTTTGTTACAGCAGCCCTAGCAAACTGGGGTGGAACCTTTCAGAGGCTGTTGACCCAGCCTCTTGATTGTACCGGAGGAGATGAGCAGGCCGTCAGCAAATATGTGTCATGGCTTTAAGGAACACCAAGAGAGGGCCCCATGGATCCTTAAGGAATGCTGTCTGAAAAGCAACTGCCCAAGGCAAACGCTGTCCTAAAGCAGGTGAGGTGGGGGTGGGGCTGGGTCTGAAAAGGAAGAAAAATCCTTTGGCCCCACCTGGGGAATTCACGATAAAACAGATGATCCTTGTGTGAGGAAAGAGGCTCTGCCATTGAGTTAAATAAGCGTGTGTTGATTCTGGAAAGCAAATGAACGAAGTACTCAGAGTCATGATGGAAAGGCCAGGAGAGGTGGGAAATGATCAGCAGGAGGAGACCTGTGGGGCTGTGGGCCAGGTTGAGGAAGGCTCTTATGCGGTTGTCCATAATTTCTAGAAAATATACCCAGCGCTGATGGGAGAGGGTTTTTTCAGGAATCCCTCAAATCTTCCACTTTAAACCTTAGGGAATCTCAGGAAACCCAAAAGAAACCCAGAGGTTGTGATTTTGTATTTTCTAGCCAATAAAAAAAATTTGTGGCAAAGCCAAAGCAAGCTTGCTTTCAAGTTAAATTTGGGACCAATAAGAGATAAATAAAAAGCAAAACTGAAGTTGAAACCGGGGGCCAACTTGCTCTAACCATACTCAGTTAGTTGTCTGTTTGCGAAAGCAGTTAGATAATGCATTACTAAAACCCACGCTATAGATAACATCTCTGAAGCCTGAGTCACCATGGTAACAGGTGCTTGAGTTTTTCAGGAACTGAGAGTCAACTCCTTGTCCAGTTCAGGCTAGTTAAGACCACTGACTCATCAACTGGGCCCGTGTGGATGACCAAGAGGTGACCCTTTGATGTCAAGGAGCTGAAAACTCCACCCTCAGATCATGGTAATGCCGCCATTTTGTGAACATGCATCCATGTGTCCTATGAAAAGCCATGAAGCTTGACTACACTTGCACAGATCATCAGTTACCTCACTTCTCCTTACCTGTGATCATCTATTCCCACTTCAGACCACCCCGACCCTTTATCCCATAAAGATCCCTAATCCCCATTTTTCGGGGAGGTGGATTTGAGATTGGTTCTTCTGCCTCCTTGCTTGGCTGCCTTGTGATTAAACCCTTTCTCTTTGCAAAGTCGTCGTCTCAGTGATTGGCATAATGATGCAGTGGGCAAAACAAACCTGGTTTGGTATCAAAATGACCACTGCATGTAAGGTGGACAACTTGTCCTGGTTTGCCCAGGACTTTTCTGGTTTTAGCACTGAAAGTCCCACGTCCCGGAAAGCCTGTCATCCTGGAGAGCCTCTCATCCTAGGCAGATTGGGATGGCTGGTCACCCTAATACACACTCACCACTGTAGGTGTCTCAGGAGGACAGATACATATACAATGTATGCTGCCTCAAAGGAGAATAAAGTCATCCGTGAGAGAAATAATATGACAACACAGAAAATGGAGCAAGCAACATAATAATAGATAATTAGGGGTTAAAGTTTCTTGACATGATGTAGGTGCTGAGAAGAGAATGAGTAAAAACTGAGAATAACAGCCAATCATAGTTGAATACTTTTCACATGCCCAGGACCTTCTAAAGGTTTATATGTGTATTAACTCATTTAATCTTCACAATAACCCTACGAAGTTGATATAGCCATTAGCCCATTTTACAGATGAAGAAACTGAGGCACAGAGAATTTATGGCCAAGGTCACAGGTTTCATAAGTGGTAGAACCAAGATTAAAATCTTGTTGTCTGGCTTCAGAGCCTGAGCTCCAAACCACTGTACTACCCTGTCAGACGAAGAACAGCCTTACATGTCACACTAAGGTGTTGTACTCCAAAGTAGTGGGAGGCCACAGAACAGCTTAAGTAGAAGAGAGGTGTGACTGGTGTATAGTATATAGAGACACTACTTTGCCTCTATACGGACTGAAGGCAGAAGCCTGAGGATGGGCAGGATTTAGCAGAGAAGGAGGAGTGCTTCTCAGAGTCAGGTCCCTGTCTTTTTGCCCATGGTTCTCTATGTTTCTCCCATACCACAGCCACTCTCACACTCACAGTAACAATGTGCTGCCATGTGTATCTCCACACTGGTCTGTGCGCTCCTTAAAGGTGAGTTCCATGTGTCACTCATCTTTGGTTCTCCATGCCAGGCACTGTGGCTGGTACACAGTAGGCACTTACTAAATGTTTCTTGAATGAACAAGACTCAGATGGGAATGAGCATGGCATGTTTGGATAAGTTGAGTCAATCTGACTAAAATTGGACAGTGACAGGACGTCACATTGAATAAGGCAGGGAAGAGCTAGATAATAGATTTTATAGAGAAAAGGGACAATAAAGATAGGTGGGAGGCAATGGGGTCAGCGCTAAAAGCTGGGCTCCCTGCTCTACCCGCTGCCCAGCCCTCCTCCCATCACTACCAGAAAGAGCTTCTAAAATTCAGAGCCAGTCACACCTCTCTTCCACCTAAAACTGTTCAGTGGCTTCCCGTTGCCTTTGGGGTAAATGCCTTAGCGTGGCATGCAGGGCCCTTCTTCATCTGACACCTGTCTTTTCCATTGAGCTTCAGCTCACATCACTCCCCTACAAACAGTCTGTGACATAAATTGCTTACCCTTCCAGAAACTCACTGCACTGAATCTTGCCTCTGTGCTTTTGTCCGCGGTGCCCTTCCCCCACTTTCCTACCTGACCAATTCTTACTTACCCTTTAAGACTCAGCTCAGGCATCACTTCCTCCAGGAAGTCCACCCTCATAGCCACTTCTCTCCCATAGTGGGCTTAGATGCGCTCCTCTGAGCTCCCAAAGTGATCTGTCCAACCTCCTTCTTGGTACCCGCTATATTCTAATGCAAATGTTTGCCTTTCATATTCACTTAGGGGCACATAATGTCTTTTACCTCTTTCCCTTAGTTCCTGGTGCCAAGTAAGTTCTCCATAAATATTTAGTGAATGAATTAATAAATTAAAGACTACATCAATCCCCACCAATCCTAATAATCAATACTTGGCCTTCATCAACTACTTGGTACAAGACCTTACATGCTAGAATTCATGTTCAGTGTTCAATCTCATTTGGTTTATCCTACTCCTGGCACAGTCTTGAAATAGGAATGTGCTTAGAGAATATCAACTAAAGTATCAACAGAGCAATACATTGATGCCTGTCAATGCCCCCAAGTGGAGCAAGGATCACAACAGGCTTCTGCTCACCTTCTGATCAAGTCAACAACAGCTTCTGCCCCAGGGCCAGAGTCCAACCTCACTCTGAGTGCAGTTCCTAGATGTTCTTTGGTTTCCCAGCCTCCTAGCACCTGCCTTGGATTTGAACCCTAATCAATAG